AGAAGAAGATTTTTGAAATATTGGTTAATTTTCCCTTTGGGGCCCCGCCCTGGCCCCAGGGGTTGGGGTAGGAATCCCAATTTTACAATTTTGTAGCCTCATCTACCAAGGATGATTCTGACCAAGTTTGAAAAAAATCCATCCACTGGTTCTTGAGAAGAAGTTGAAAATGTAAAAAGTTTACGCACGACTAAAAGCAGTTTAATGCTTTATGAAATACAAGGAGGGCAAGATGTGTACCAAGGGTGTTTTCCAACATAGTGAACCTCCGGTTGGAATCCTGACCGATCCATCAGGAACACAGAGAAGCACTCTCCGGCAGCAATGTCCCAGATATGACAGCCGGACATCACCTGTCAGACAACAATAATATCAGTGATATATGGTGAACGTTTTTGGATCTGGATGTATCTAACAACTATTAAAGGCCTTTTTTCCAGGAGTCAACAGCAGTCAACAATAAGCAGAGATTTAAGGGAAATCACTTCTTGAAAATAAAATTAAAAAGATTTCAATCCTATCCTCATGTAATAATACTATATGTATGCAGTATTTAGCATTGAAAATGTTGTTATATTCGTGTGAACAATCAAAAGATACACATTTTCTTAATCTTGTATTTTCCCCATCACAAAGGAACTGATTACAATAGCATCGCACGGCTACGTAGGTATTGACATGCTTTAGATTTTTAATGCTGGTTAGGTACCTTCAGTTTGGTAGGTTTACAGTTTTCTTCACTGTGGCCAAGCTGCTTTGAAACATTGGATCCCCAGCTGTATACCTTTAAAATAAAAAAAAATAAAACGCTTTCATAATAGTACAAAACAGATCAAAGTTACAGACATTTTAACCTTAAAAATAAAGATCGCCTATAAACTACCACCTGTCTCTATATACAATCAAACCTGTCTCAGAGATAAATGTCTATTGCTACCACCTGTCTATATCTACAATCAAACATGTCTCAGAGATAAATGTCTATTGCTACCACCTGTCTCTAATTACAATCAAACCTGTCTCAGAGATAAATGTCTATTATTACCACCTGTCTATATCTACAATCAAACATGTCTCAGAGATAAATTTCTATTACTACCACCTGTCTCTATAACTACAATCAAACCTGTCTCAGAGATAAATGTCTATTGCTACCACCTGTCTCTAACTACAATCAAACATGTCTCAGAGATAAATGTCTATTACTACCACCTGTCTATATCTACAATCAAACATGTCTCAGAGATAAATGTCTATTACTACCACCTGTCTNGTACCATCATGCCTGCCTTTAATATACCTCATCTGTCGATAACCACCATGTGTTTATAACTATAACAACTCTGCTTTATAGATAACCTGTCCATAGCAACCACCTGTCTATATTGTACATAATGCATATGCCTGCCTTATATATTACCTGGCCATAATAAATACCTGTTTATAATTACACCTGCCTTATAGATCACCAGTCCATAAGAAATACCTGTTTATAATGACATCTGCCTTATAGATTACCTGTCCATAAGAAATACCTGTTTATAATCACACCTGTCTTATAGATCACCTGTCTATAACTTCCATTACACCTGCTTTCTAACTCAACGGTCCATAACCACCACATGTTTATAACTATAGTTACACATGCCCTATATATAAACCGTCTACAGCTACCATCTGACAAATAACACAATAATAATAATGATAATTATTTGAGGTTCTTATATACCGCTTTATCACAACCTAGTTCGTAGGTCGTCTCAAAGCGGTTAGCATTCAACAATTCTAGTACTGCCCAACCACATACTCATTTACAGCTGAGTAGACTGGAACAAGCGGAGTAAAATATCTTGCTCAAAGATACAACACAGTGCCGTGCCGTGACTCGAACCCGCAACCCTTCGGTCAAGAGCCATGCGTCCTACCACTAGACTGCCGTGTCTCAAAACCTAATATATTTCAAGAAATTTTGATTTAATAAGATAATAACAGGTGTGCTTAATGTAACTTACCTGACTTTTTGTTTCTTAAACACTGGTAACGTACCTGAGAGTCTGCCGTCAGTGCTAAGGAATGCTGGGAACCTGCGGTAACCTTGACAACTTGTTTTCCATTCAGTACTTTTACCAAACATGGCTTGTTTCTACAATACCAGACTCATATCCTGATTTGTTTTACTTACATTAGAAACATTACTGGAGGGAAACTTCATGCTTTAATGTTTTTACATAAGAAACACCAGCATTACCTGGTATTGTTTTCACATTCACGCAAAAAGGGAGACAACTCTTGTGAGTCTAACAATTTTTAACAATTTCTAAAAATATCATAAGTACTTCTAATACCTGTATCTCAAATACATTTTTAGATTAAAGGTCTAGAATTCACACCATTTCTATAAATCTGTAAATAACATAATATATTTTTGATTATAATCCCCCTCCAATTAATCTGATTAAAAACAGATTTCCATATTAGTTTAACCAATCAGATGCATCATTACTCCTGTCTGATACAGGACTGTCGATACAGGTGAACCTGTCTATAACAATCATCACGGGAGAATAAGAAGCCAGGCGGTCATTATTTACAGGTCACCATTACATCTTAAAGGAACCTTTGAGATATGATGGCTATCCAAGATTTGTTTGTTGTCCAAGCAACATATGTAGTTTACCTGTCTATTGAATCTCCGATCCCTAATTGTCCTCGGAAATTCCGACCCCAGGACCAGACTTCTGTGTCTAGTATGACCTCCTTGGAAGGAACAACCTGCAGGTCAGGCTTGGGACCTAAAATATTCAAATAACTTGTAAATACATCTGATTTGAAAAATGTTTATCAATTTTTCAAAATATTATTGAACCAAAAGTATGAAACAAAATTTTCCATCTTATCTGATTACTTGGCTAAAATGAAAGTATGTAGAGGGTCTTAACCTAGGATTAACAGGAGCACCCGTATAAAACTCACATGGTCAGGCACATAACCCAATACTTTTTTAAGTGTGACTGGGGGAAATGAACTCCAGCTGTATTGGTCAAACATGAGGAAGTGGTCAGATGGTGCAGTGGACAGCATTCTCGCCTTACACCAAGATGGCCGAGGTTTGATTCCCCAATCGAATGTGAACATGTATGGTTAACCAGTGCCCGACCACGTGGGCGGTCTACAGGTACTTGTAGTTTGCAATCCACTGAGCCACCCAACCTCCCAAGGAATAATTGACATTCTGTAATTAAGACTCGATCAAATGATTTTGATTGCAAAGATTTTAATTCAAGAAAGAGAAAATAATAGATATATGAACCTTTTGTACAATACATAAACAGAAACCAAAGTTTCTATATACTTTCACTATGGAGTGATATACATTTTCAACTCAAATGCTGAAATAAAGTACAATGGTAATCAGAAAAAAATGCACTTTATTACAAATGTCCATCAATTGCTCAACTTGATCTAGTGCCATGACCATGGCTAATGTACGCTTTTTCCTTAGGTGAAATTATGAAGATTACATACCCCTATATGGAAGAGAAATATATATCACCAACTTTTCAGAAATTGCTTTTGTATTAAATAATTTAATAAAAATAATAAAATAGAATTCTAACCTACAAGCTTGAGTGGGTATATCGTTTTTAAGCCTTGTGATCTGACTCTTAAGAATATTTACTCAGATTCGATCAAGTATAAGTCCATAAGACAGAAAACAAGAGGCCCAATAGGCCTGCATTGCTCATCAGTACAAGTCTCACACTTGTAACCTTGAAATAAAGCTACAGGCAAAATATCAGTATCTATGACTCTCAGTCATTAAAACAATCTGTAAAAACAATTAAACACATGCCATGTGAGCTAAAAATACTCACAGTGTGAGATTATTTTATCATTTTACATTTTGAAATTATATAAAAAAAAAAAAATCAGTTTTGAATGATAAAACTTTATACAGCAGTTATAGGACTTTTTCTGTTTCACAAATTATCTGTAATTTGTATTAAATCATAGCACAGATGAAAATAGAAGCTTTAACCCTTTCACCACTGTAGACCATAATGGACTCATCCAGATCAATGCATGGTAGAGTCTACTAAAGTTACATAGGGGTGAAAGGGTTAAGTCATAACTGAAGACACATGTACATTATTTTTTATCAAAATTGTACACTTGTAGCACATTGTAACTTAGCCATCAAGTTCAATACTTTATTTACCTAGGACAGATGCTCTCTTGCTCATTTGTTCCTCTTTGACTTGTAAAGTTCGAACAGACATTGACTTTCTTTCTGGAATTGTCTCCCCATCCCGTAAATCTTCTATACTGGAGTCAACAAGTGGGGTGTGCTCATTAATCCTCTCTATGAAACTAGACTCTGCCATCTGGGGTGAAGTATTTTCGGGCACCTGTTCATCCTCTGTGCTTGGCGTTGATATACTTGAACTCTGGTCATCTAAGGAGCTGTTGGACTCTGACATTAAATCATGTTCACTCTCCATATTGGGTTTTTGACCTTCAGCATCTAACTTGACATTGCCAAGGTCCCAACTAACTGGGTCATTACTGGCCTGATTGGTTGCAAAAGGCAATTTGTCCGTTACCGTGGAGATCGCCTTGCTAGTCATTGATGACACCTGGTTAGTTGATAAATACAAAACGAATTTAACTCAAAGTAATTCTGATCAATATTAGTTACTCAAACACACTCTTTTCTTTTTTTGGATAAAACCAAAATGAAAATTCCATGAAATTCAATCAAGTTTTTGTTCACAAGAAATCAAATAATTACTCAAGTAAAATTCATTCATATGAAATTTCCACTTTTTTTTCTCTTTGATCATCAAGTTTTTTCATCAAATAATTATATTTTATTCGTAACTTTCTGGAAGAGCCACGGAAATAGTATATGAAATATGATCAAAAGAGAGAGATTTCATCCTTTTTTCTTTCTAGAGGTTAACATGTGTTCACTGATTAAGCAATCAACAGTGAATTACTCCAACAAAAACTAACGCAAAAGTGGAAATTTTCTTAGAGTGGAAATTCCTCATGTGTTTTTTGTGCTGACTATATACTAGTGCAAAAATATCCACATTGTAATTTGTTTTTCATAGATTATACAAATATAGAATTTACAAATCTCAGATCCATTTTGCAAATGCTAAAAATTTCGACACAACGGTCAGTTTAAAAAGTCATAAGGTGAACATTTCCACGCACAAACATTTACACTTTTACAGTATCTATGGGTCAATATGGTAAATAGAAAACCCAAAACCAGTTGATTCCAGATATCCATGACCTGACTGAGGAGTATGTAAGTAACTACTACATTGAATGAAATGTTGTATGTCTATGCAATAATTCTATAATTTCTGTAAGGATTAATTGTATTTCTTGATTTTCTTTTAATTCATGTAATATAAACTTCCAGGATTCGTTTTTAATCTTTTCTGTTTTGCTTTGCACCAATGATCCATTTACCTGTTGCTGTACAGCAGACATCTGCATCAGAACTGCATTACGACCCGAGGGCAGAGCTGACCACAGATGACCAAGCGTTGACCGCTGCTCTACGGTCTTGGGGCGTATCTCAGCAAGGTCCTTATCCTCGTACTGCTTTGACAGGAACTGAAGAGCTTCATTTCCGTCCATAAAACTCTTAGATCTCCCCACTGCTTGGATGTTGCTTGCTTTATCGTCAGTGGATTCAGCAGCTGAGGCCTGCAAAGGGTCACTAAATGGTTGGTGAGTCACATCTGACATTGTTGAGTCTTTGGATTTTGAATCCTTTTCTTCAGTGACAGGATCTTTGTGAGGACATTTTGAATCAGCTGCTGGGTCCAGGTCATTGACCTGATGACCACTGGTCAGCTGATCATCAGCTATTGTTTGTGATATTGCATCTTCCCCTATTCTAGGAGAAATGACATCATCACAACCAGGATTTGGATCACTTATGGACGTTTCTTCACTTTTTGTCACTGTAATGTTATCTGAATTTTCTTTCTCTGTGGAAATAAGTTCCTCTTCTGTCTTTTGCGAAGTCAAATCATCACTTTCAGTTTCAATCTGTTTGTTCACATCTTCCTGACCATCTTCATGGGGTTGGTCCTCAGCATGCCCTGATGCTAAATTGTCCAGTGACTTGTCTGCTGATTGGTTGTTAGAAGTGCCGTCCCCTGAAAAATCGCCACTGATTGGCTGGGCGTGTTCACAGCTGTGTTCATTACTTATTATGCATGTATCACTTGTTTCCATGTAGGTATAGATTTCCGACTGACATTTTGCACAGGTTGAAGGATAAAATTTGTGAGCCTTCAGCTCTATAATTGATGAAGTACTCTGACGTTTATCTCTGTCACTTTCCCCAATAACACTCTTCTCTACCAACACAATGCTGTGATTTTCACCACAACAGATACTGAGAATATTCCTCCCTGACAGGGTTTCTATCAGCGTTGGTGGAATGACACCAGTGGCGCCCTCTATCCCTATCCCTGGCCCACTTCCCCATACCCACAATTCCGAATCGACAGACAAACCAAGCGTATGAGTCGCTCCACAAGCCACTTCCGTGAACTTTATGTTGTTGGCTTCAGCTTGAACTCCATGTTCACAAGTGTTGCTTGACACCTGTTGGATGACAACTGGATAAGGGGACAGAACTCTGTCCTGCTGCAATCCACATTGTCCCTGTTTTGAGTCTCCCCAACAGAGGGCGCTGCCATCCTTGGTTACAACAGCACAGTGGTTGAGTCCACAAGCAACCTCTACCACACAACGACCTACAAAACCAAATTTAGATCAGCTATAAAAACAGATTACAAGCAATCTGTGACAAACAAATATAATATTATATATTCATTGTTATTGTCTCAGCCAATCAAAGGCAATAATCAGGTGGCCATTTTTAAACAGAAATTTAAAGTTGGCCATTTGATGAAACTTTCATTGTTTTAATGGGCCACGTTATTTCTTAATTTTTTCTGAACATGGCTTGAAATGGCCAAGTACCAAAAAGCAATATATCTGAGGAAAAAACCCGAACAGACAAGCTGAATCTTAAATAATTGTAACTGTAACCCCTGAAGTTTGTTGTGAGGGGTATAGGCAGTAAGAACAGGTGTACATCTTCAGGGTAACTACAGTTCATCAGGTCAAGGATAAAATAGCCCACTGGGCCTGGTGAATTGGATGCCCGCTTGTCCAACCAGCCTTTACCAATTTTGTTTAAGCATCAACTGATCTTTACTTGCCAAAATGAGTTATAGAAAGCAGAGATGTTACCAGAATGTTCTGTATGTGGAAGGACCCTGAGTGTGGATGTGTGGCTAAGCCAGTCTGTTTTCTTGTGATGTGTGACTTAATTGTGCTGTATGATTTCAACAAAAAAAAATCTGAGCTGCTTATACATGTTTTTTGTTTTTTTTACTGATGTTTTGATGAAATACAAGCACTTATAAGCTTGTGTTCATATGTTAGCAATATTTGACTGAACATAAAAAAAAATGCATTTTGCTAATTCATAGCTGAAATATATTAATTGAGTCATCAACAGTATTCAGGATGGTGTGTTTTATCACAATTCAGATGTACATGTCACAAGAACGCTGGCCCAAAGGGCCTCTTTTTGGAAGATTGGACATGATAACCAACACTTAAATGGACCAGAAATTAAGTCCTGATTAGATCATTTTATTCCCAGAAAAGAGGATGAGAAAGCCGACCCTTATAAGTACTGAGAAACCTGTCTCATTTTTCGAATGCTGTGTATTCTGACATTTTGTTTAATCTGACTTCAATATATATTATTATGAAAAGTTCTTTTTACACAACCAGTAACAGTTTATATGTAACGTTTCTATGACTATAACAGTACGTACACTGTCACCTTCATCAGACAAATGACCAGTGAAGCGTATGCACACAAAGATGTAAAATATGTATGAGTTGTTCAAACAATTAGTTATTATGAATGTACCGAAATGACTTGATTCAGCTACGCTTTGCAGGCCAGTTCTAAATCGAGATGAGGGGGCTAAAAAACTCATGCACATCTATGACCAAGTATTAAACAAAGCGTAGCTGAATCAAGTCATTTCGGTACATATATAACAACTTTTGCACATACACTTATAGCGTAGCCGAATCAACATCAATTTTGTGGACAACTCGTACACATTTTACACTTTTGTGTGCATACGTTTTACTGGTCATTTGTCTGATGAAGGTGACAGTGCATGTACATATCGTACTATTCATCGCTACGTTACGAAGAACCTCTTATTGGTTGTGTAAAAAGAACATTTCATAATCCATACTTACCAACCCGAAGAAAGTGTTTAGAAATATCTGACTTCAATATGTTGTGTCCCACAGCTAGGTGTCAGATAACAATGGTTTAAATGTACTGGAAATGTGCTTGATATATGTCTTTGTATTTTTTCAAGGTTCTCTGTGTAAACCTTTCATTTGGTCATATTTGGCCCCAAGTATTCTATTGATTTAAAGTTTGAAGTACGTTTTTCTTTTACACTTCCGTATTTTCTTGTTGTTTTTTCTTGCAGGGTCGTTGCTATCAACTGTCCCATCATAATTATGTAACCCTTAATATCAACTACAGGGGGTCCATAAATAAGTAGACAGAATTACAGAAGACCTACCATCCAGCGTTGTTACTGGGACTGGGTCAAAGGCGTACTCCGTGTCGAGTTCCCCGATACCCAACTGTCCATAGTTATTCTTCCCACAGGAGAACACCTCCTGATCACTCGTTAGGAACACAGAGTGGTTCGCCCCTAGTGCAACTCTCTTGACCTGCTTCCTGGACAATACTGGGAAGGACACCAATTCCACACTTCCTTGGAAACCCTGCCAAACACTCAGAACTCCATCTTTTTCCTGTTCCCTAAAAGATAGAAGCAGAAAATGAAATGAGTATATTGTGTGTAATAATAAACATCATACAATTTCACCATCATTGCATAGGCTTTTAAGTCTATCGTTGATGAATTAGCATATTTATAATACTACAGGATATTATGTCCTTCACATCAATTATTTGCAGAATATTTGTGTCTATTATTTTGACATACCCATGCTTCACTTACAATAAAATGATTTTGGAATCTGATAAGTCAGTGTTACTAGCAAGTCAGTTTATATTTAATACATACATTCCTGACAGACTTTCATGTTCGTTGTCCATGGCGATTGCTTCTGGTACACTATACATATCACCAGTACCAGTAAATTAACCTGCGCAAGATATGTGACTTTACAGGTGCAGTAGTCAGCTGGTCAGGTATATTTTAAGTTTTCAGGCCAATGTATGATAAACACTGCGTTACAGCAGATAACATCAAAATTCACTTCACCCAAGGGTACACATTGCATATGTAAATGTAAATTATGTTTCTGCAGTCTTGATGCATATAACACAAAGTTCCGGATCTGTCGTTAAGATGCACATTACCTGTACAGTTTACATCCTGTTCAGATTTATAAACTCATCAATCAACCATGACTTTAAAATCCCGGGAATTTTTCCTATATGCAGTAAATATATATATCACATCCATTGCATTAAATATCAGCAGTGAAGATAGACAAAATGTAATTTCTTCACATGTGATGTCAAGTATGGTCCTTTATATATTTTATATAAACCAATCAGAATGGTATTTTCTATTCTCTGCATTCAAAGCCGGAGGAGTTCTGTTCAGTTGTTTAACAGGTGAAGCAGCAGTAAAATGGTTGTTAGTTAAATCTTACTGACACTAATTTATTAATACAAGGACCCCAGAGGGCCTGTAACACTCACCTGGATTATATAAGCAATCACGAGAAGACATGATTCCCATTAAAAGAGCAATCATACATAATTAAATGTAAACATGTTAGCATACCATTTTGGCCAAATATTATTACCCAAGGCCTCTTGGCTATTTAGAAGTTGTTTCATTCATTTTTCAACACATTTGACCCTTAATTGCTACCTTTGAATAAGGTCAAGGTATAATCTATCTGAAGAAAATGTAAAGCACCCTATATCAGCATGCAACTGGTCAAATATCAACACCTTGGGCCTCCTGGTTATTCAAAGGAAGTTATTTTAAAGGGTTTTTTACATATTTGATCAATGTTCTGAGTTTGAATTATGGTATGACCTTTTGCAGTTTTCCTATTATAGTTTGAACTGGTGCATTGACCTTACTAACTGTCCTGTTATACTTAAGCTAATTCTACCTAATAAAATAACCTGGCATCTGATGGGTTTCATTAGGATGGGAAAACATGCAACAAGCCAAACTGAGATTCAAATTAAGTCCCATTGAAACCTCTAATAAAATAAGACATCTAATCTTTTACTGTCCCATATATAGTCATGTTTAAAAATTGAGCTTGTATAGATCAGCCATACCAAAGTCTGATTTACCGATGTATATACACAACTCTTAAATGAACAGACAGTGCAGTATTGCGGTTTGTTTATACACATTTCAAGAGGTTAAGATTGTGTGTAATTATAACATTGAATTTACATTGTGCCCTGGTACAGACAAAGATGTGTACAGTGTAGATATGTATCTCCACACATTAACACTACGGTATTTGTCCATTGTCTGGTGTAAAATTTAAACTTCAACAACGTGTATTAAATTACACCTGTCATAACCTGGAGGCACAATAGTCCAGTGGAAGGACGCCGGGCTCGTGACCCAAGAGTTGCGGGTTCGACTCATGGCACAGCACTGTGTTGTATCTTTGAGCAAGATACTTAACTCTGCTTGTTCCAGTCTACTCAGCTGTAAATGAGTATGTGGTTGAGCAGTGCTAGAATTGTAGAATGCTAGCTGTGAGCGCCAAAATGGCAGCACCGGCTGTATGCTCCCCAGGGAGTTGAGAAAGATATTGGCTGGATGCAAAGGCCTTATAACCACGGATAACAATTTGTGAACCGCTTTGAGCTGACCTACAAACTATAGGTTGTGATAAAGCAGTATATAAGAACCTCAAATTATTATGACCAGGGGTATTAATATTAATAACCTCAACCAGGAATTGATCAGATATAAGGGAAAACATAGTTGAAATATCGAATGTAGTAAATATGCAATATATAATTAATAATCTACCAAAGCAGGAAAATAAAATTGCATCAATATTTTTTTTTCAAATTTGAAAATGTACCTGGATATTAAATTGAGTAAAAAAAAATTCATTTAAAATAGGAATGGGCTTGATTATTTAAGGGTAACCAGTTCTAGGAATGTAATTGTACAATTTACACTTAAGGATGCCCATACCACTGGCAAAAGACTGTCACTAAGTATTGGAAACTGTATTATCCGGCATAACTATTATAGCTTTGATCGATAAATCATTTCCTTGAAGCAGGACTTTCATGAGATGAAATAAACAATCAATAGCAGTGTAAAATTTCAGCAAGGCTGGGATTCAAACCTGAACTTCAGATTTTAATACTATTGCTCTAACCAATTGAGCTACCTGGTCAACAGAACTATCCTGGCCCGATTGTGCTACAGAGTACAGTTATGTGACCAAGGCCCAGTCGGGTTCGGATGCTGACTGAGGTGAATTGTGATAGCTAGTTCATGTTGTCCCAGTCAGGTGGTCACATAATAAGTTCACTGGTCAAGAACGGGAAATTAGCATTTGGTCAAGAAATGTAACAAGTCATTGTAAATGATGTGAATGTTTTTTTACAGAGTAAAGAAATACATTATACATGTAGATAATCCAATGGTACACAATATAGTCACAAATATATACAAGAATTGAATACGTCAAGGAAATAGTCAAGTCACCATATTTAAAACTGTAATCCACACTATGTAAATTTCATCTGTGCCATGTTAGTATTTAAAGGTTCCGAATATATTTAGAAATAAATCCAAGTTAAGGGTTCAAGGTGAGACCAAGACTGAGGGTTAGACTGAGACAGTAACTGGGACTGACTGTGAGTAAGACCTAATTCAGACTCCCCTTACATAAATGAGTAACCTATATTTATAGTCAAAAAGTACAAAATTCTTTCCTACTAAAACAATAGTGACAGCTAGGTGACAATTGCTTTAAACTCAAAGTTCTTCTGACAATAAAGTGATAGGTGACACATATGATAGACCTGGATTGTTACAATTAAAATGACTACTATTTAGGGAGTTAAGTGACAGCCAAATCTTTTCCTGTTGACACCAGGAAGTTAGGGATTATCTCTGGCACCTAATGGTAATCCATATAACAATAGATACTTAATTACAGGTAAGGTCATTTTACTTTCAGATTATATGATACAAAGGTACATTAAGAAATGGTTCAGTAAGAAATGATTTTGTTTTAATTTCAAATGAATTAATTAAATTCTTAGAATAAAGTTTCAGTAGAGGAAATATTTTAAATTGTGCAAATGTAGTATCTGCACTGGTGAAAGTTATACCAAAATGGAAGTTAAAGGGAGATTACTGTGTATAGGAAAATCTACATTGTAGTGGGACAGGGATCCTGAAGGAAGTTAAGGGGAGACTACTGTGTATAGGAAAATCTATGGGTAGTACGTGGGACAGGGATCCTTAGGGAAGTTAAGGGGAGATTACTGTGTATAGGAAAATCTATGGGTAGTACGTGGTACAGGGATACTTAAGGAAGTTAAGGGGAGATTACTGTGTATAGGAAAATCTATGGGTAGTACGTGGGACAGGGATCCTTAAGGAAGTTAAGGGGAGATTACTGTGTACAGGAAAATCTACAGTGCAGTGAGACAGGGATCCTTCAGACAGCAAATTCACAGGAAGAAGCGATTAGTATATAAGATGTATTGCATCTATCTATTTTTGTTCCCTGTGATAGTATACATGTGTTATGGCATTTTTTTTAAAGAAGGTGTTAAATTGACTCTGTAGAATATTCTTTACAACAGAGTAAAGACTTAGGACTCATCCATTTATTTTCTAATGTTTACAGTCCTTGAAACGTTATTTGTCTCGTACATTATTGCTATTTACTCAAATATCTTCACCTGGCACAAACAAGTATAGACAAGTGCAGGCTGCGGGCCCCTTTATTATTAATGTACAAAAGTATCAACGAAACAAATACTACAAATATACGATAAAATCATGTTCAGTAGTGTAACGGACAAACTACTGTCTGTTTAAAGTCAAGGGGTTCAAGGTTTTAATCTCAGTCATGGAGATGTTTTTGTGAAAAAGGATATTACAAGAGGCCCAATGGGCCTGAATCGCTCACCTGGTATTAATCTCACAAATAATCTTTAAAGTGGACTAAAATACAGCTACAGGCAGAATATCAGTGTTTGACTCATAAGAACCTATTAAAAGATTTAAACATATGACGCCTGTGACCTTGAATGTCGAACAAGGACATAAGGTTGAACTGAGTTTTTAGTCTTCCAACCCAGCATGCTTCTGGCAAAATATCATTACCCTGGACCTTTTGGTTATACAGAACAAGTCATTTAAAGATGTAATCATATATTGACCACTGTGACCTTCGTATGGGCGAAGGTCATTCATTTGAAAAAACCTGGTAGTCCTTAATCCAGGCATGTTAATGGCCAATTACCATTACCCTTGGCCTTTTGCTTATTGTGAAGAGGTCGTTTTTAGGTTTTAAACATATTTGACCCCTGTGACCTTGGATATGAGCGAAGTTCATTCATTTGAACATCATCCAAGGCCTTTTGGTTATTGAGAAGAAGTTGTTTAAAGGTTTTTAACATGTTTGAACCCTGTGACCTTGAAAATAGATGAAGGTCATTCGTTTGAACAAACTTGGTAGCCCTTCATCCCAGCATGTTACTGGCCAAATAACATTATCCTTTCCCTCTTGGGTATTCAGAAGAAGTTGTTTAAAGATTTTAAACATATTTGATCCCTGTGACCTTGAAAATGGGTGATGGTCATTTGTTTGAAAAAAACTTGGTAGCCCTTCATTTCAGCATGTTACTGGCCAAATATCATCACCTGAGGCCTTTTGGTTATTCAGAATAAGTCGTTCAAAGATTTTAACATATTTGACCTATGTGACCTTGAAAATGGGTTAAGGTCATTTATTTTAACAAACCTGGTAGCTCTTTATCCCAGCATGTCACTGGCCAAATATCATCACCCTAGGCCTCTTGGTTCTTCAGAAGAAGTCATTCAAAGATTTTAACATATTTGACCCCTGTGACCTTGCAAATGGGTGAAGGTCATTCATTTGAACAAACTTGGTAGCCCTTTATCCCTGCATGTTACTGGCCAAATATCATCATTCTAGGCCTCTTGGTTATTCAGAAGTCATTAAAAGATTTTAACATATTTTACCCCTGTGACCTTGAAAATGAATGAAGGTCATTATTTGAATAAACTTGGTAGCCTTTCATCCCAGCATTTTACTGGCCAAATATGATCATCTTAGGCCTTTTGGTTACTGAGAAGAAGTTGTTTAAAGTAAAAAGTTGACGCCGGACGGGCGCTGGATGCCGGACGTTGCACCATGGCATAAGCTCACTAATGCCCTTCGGGCAGGTGAGCTTAAAATTAGAACTCTTCTTTGTTGGAGGATGAAATGTAATGCTAGACTTTCTACCTTAACTCATAGGATCGATGGATATAAATCATAATTGATTGTCGTAACTAAAATATTTTGTTTCTTTCATATTTGTAAGTAAATACAGTCTGTATAATATCATAATGTAATTAGTTTAATCACAAAACAAATATACCAAAAAAAAAACATGAGCTGGGATGAAACCTATCTAAGTACAAATTAGTGGCAGGTATATTGGCGACATTTCACTTTCTCAGACCAAGTGAGAAAATATAAAGATCTGAGTGTAAAGGCAGGTAAGCCTCCAGAACGTTTTCCAGATAATTCTAAAATTTAGAATTCATTAGGATTGACAGAATAAATTAAAAGTTGACTCAAAGAACCGTCCATTCAGGTGAGCTAAACAATCTCAACATACACACATATATAATTATACAGCATACACATGCCAGTAAATTAAATTTACATTTAGATTAGAAACATGCCTTAAAATTACAGACACAATTTAATTGAATCTAATTTCTAATTCAAGCCATTTTGAAAATTAAAATAACAATTTTGGAAACAATTAGATAGACGGAGTTTCAACGATTATAGACAAATAATTGTTCACAGAACTAAGTGTGAAACAAGCGTGCAGTGTATTAAATTACTTCTGCACTTTGAAAGAATACATATCCACCAACACTGAATGGGTATAACCCGGTTTCCCACGATTCCCTAAGGAGATTGAGGGTGTGACCGTTTACTGAAAGAGTCATGACATGAAATAATGGATTGGTAATTGTAAAATGTTTATCAATTTACACATAAATAACTTCACAGATCGAAGAAGACATGCATGAATTAAGTTTAGAATTAGTCAACATTACATACATGCCATCAAGTATACACCCACAGAAGGTAAACTGTTAAGTGAATGAATATATTAAGGACATGCAAGAAAAATCACTAAAAATTCCATTACTGAAAGTTATTTTAAAGTTATTTTCCCAAGAATATTATCTTATAATAGTCCCAATCAAGAAACGATGAATCTATAGTTGTTTATTTAGGGGTGTAAGCTAGCTCAGATTACATTAACCGTGACATACCTTAGATCTGAGATTGTCTGTAAGAAGTACTATTTCTGTTTAGCATGACAAAATACTTCTGTCGCGTCACGCCCCAATGAACCTCATAATATTCAAACTACCTGGGGACAATAACATTACCTATTTCAGATAAGGAAACAAATTACCTCTAAACTGTATCTCAATCACCATGTCAGCTTAACCTTTCTGTTGGTGAAATATGACCTAAACAGAAAACTGTCTGTTCATTGTATAATGCACTACTAAATATATTTTTTTCATACAGATTAAACAATTTTACCGTGATTGCCAATGAAGTACAATTTTCATTATGGCATATATTTTAAAATTTTGAGTTTTAGAAAATCCTTTTTTAATATTTATTAAGTTGACAAGTCTTTGCCTACAGTGTCGCTCGCCTCTATTGTAGTAGTACCGAATGCTAAAGGTAGGGCCATTGATTGGAAGGCTGCGCTCCACTGAACAAATAGAAGAGAATTAAATTTCGCTTTTGTAGTACTTGCTGTGTGTACACCCCTGTTTTCTGTATTATCTCATCCGGTGTAACTCTAATATTCTAGTGTCACAACTAAGGTAAACTTCGCTATGACTGGTGATACACTCAAGCAGATCCTCGCGGTAAGCTTCAAGGTACATACTCGCAGTAAACTCGGGTAGATTCTAAAGTGTATTTCCCAATGCCTTGCCTGCTCTATAGCTGGTCGTGATCAGGACCATGTGTTAGCTCTGGAAGCTAGGAGTGACTCGTTTCGCTTGACTGGAACTGTTTTATAGGAACCCAATAGTTTAATATATATAAACCAGTAATTACAGGTAGCATTACAGGTAACTTCACATCTGTAATAGGTGTGAACTGTGGCGGGGTAGACATATAAGGTGACGGGGTATAGACTGGCCAGCTTTAACACTGGATGTGTCGTACTACAGAGGAAAACATGACCAGTAATCCTTTGTCGTAGTGGGTTAATGCTGTGCAGTTCTAGTTCCGACTGGATTAATACCAACATGTTCCAAACATGGGAATGGATGACCAGACATCAGGCCACAACAGAAATATCTTCATATTAGCAGAGTAAGTATGGGTTGTATTATCATTATGTGATTTATTGTGATTAAGAAGTATCGTCAACGTCGGTTCTGGTAGTGGCTGGTTAAGCAATCAAACCAACACATTAAGTCTTGACAGTATATACATGTATATATAAACAGAAATGCATGGTTAGTCCAGAATAAACTCGCATCTGAGACAAAAATCACAAAATACAATATAAACATAATGCTGATTGCCATAATTATAGATTTAGATCAAATTTACACACTGTAAAAAGCCAATATTTTCATCTAATATTTTAAATAATTTTCAAAAAGTTTGTTTTCATATCAGGCACTTTAATTGGTTTCTGATAGACACTTCCAATACATCCTTGGTAATGTTACCATGAGAACGGCGGCCATTGTTTTATCCCATATCAAAACCTGTCTTTTGAAATGCTGTGTGCAAATTACAGCTGTAATAAGTGCCGAGACTTATATACACTGAAAAACCTTTATGGGAGTGTGGTGTGATTTTACAGTGAAATCTGGATACAGAACAAATCAAGGATTCTTAGTAACATACCCTTTCAGGTGTGAATGTGAGTGATGTCTACCTTGATGTTAGCAGGACTTTCATTTCATGTGGGAAACATGGACCTATAGTCATGTGAATTCAAAGTTACCTAAGGCAGCGTGTGATGGATGACAAAACTGTTACGGCCTACATTGTTACAAATTTAGATATATGTTTACCTTCAACTGAGGCGAAAGGTGAGAAAAGTTACCTTGTATAACACACCTTTAATGTAAATTCAGCAAAAAAGGAGTTAGCCACATAGAGTTTAAAGGTTTTGATATGTAAATGCAAATTGGTAAAAAATTATAAAGTTCCTGGAATTCATTAATTCTGTATATATTATCATGAAACCTAAACTGTTTTAAACATTTGTATAGATATTCAACCTGATAAATATGTAAAATATTGACAAAATTTCAACAGTGAATAAATTAAACATTCTGAACTGATTAAATAGTACACCCTGTTCTTGATCAAACCCGATAAGCAAACATTTCATAAATACTGAATAAATAAATACAAGGAAGATTCTATGAATCATTCATTGGTCTCCCACGTATGTGACTGTCACAAAAGATTCACAAATTAGTCACTGTCGTACAGGGGTGAAACGCCTAAAGTCACTGACATACAGGGGTCTAACACCAGTCACTGTTGTACAGGGGTGAAACGCCTAAAGTCACTGTCATACAGTGGTCTAACACCAGTCACTGTCGTACAGGGGTGAAACGGCTAAAGTCACTGTCATACAGGGTCTAACACCAGTCACTGTCATACAGGGTCTAACACCAGTCACTGTCATACAGGGGTCTAACACCAGTCATTGTCACACAGGGGTCTAGTACCAGTCTCTGTCGTACAGGTGTGAAATGCCTAAAGTCACTGTCATACAGGGTCTAACACCAGTCACTGACATACAGGGGTCTAACACCAGTCACTGTTGTACAGGGTCTAACACCAGTCACTGTCATACAGGGGTCTAACCCCAGTCACTGTCATACAGGGGTCTAACACCAGTCGCTGTCATACAGGGGTCTAACACCAGTCACTGTCATACATGGGTCTAACACCAGTCAATGTCATACAGGGTCTAACACCAGTCATTGTCATACAGGGTCTAACAACAGTCACTGTCATACAGGGGTCTAACACCAGTCACTGTCATTCAGGGTCTACCACCAGTGGCTGTCATACAGGGGTCTAAAACCAGTCACTGTCATACATGGGTCTACCACCAGTCACTGTCATACAGCAGTCTAACACCAGTCATTGTCACACACGGGTCTAACATCAGTCCCTGTCATACAGGGGTTTAACACCAGTCACTGTCATTCAGGGTCTAACACCAGTGTCTGTCATACAGGGGTCTAAAACCAGTCACTGTCATACAGGGGTCTAACACCAGTCGCTGTCATACAGGGGTCTAACACCAGTCACTGCCATACATGGGTCTAACACCAGTCACTGTCATACGGCAGTCTAACACCAGTCATTGTCACACACGGGTCTAACATCAGTCACTGTCATACAGGGGTTTAACACCAGTCACTGTCATTCAGGGTCTAACACCAGTGACTGTCATACAGGGCATACAGGGTCTAACAACAGTCACTGTCATACAGGGGCCTAACACCAGTCACTGTCATTCAGGGACTAACACCAGTGGCTGTCATACAGGGGTCTAACACCAGTCACTGCCATACATGGGTCTAACACCAGTCACTGTCATACAGAAGTCTAACACCAGTCATTGTCACACACGGGTCTAACATCAGTCCCTGTCATACAGGGGTTTAACACCAGTCACTGTCATTCAGGGTCTAACACCAGTCACTGTCATTCAGGGTCTAACACCAGTGGCTGTCATACAGGGGTCTAACACCAGTCACTGTTATACATGGGTCTAACACCAGTCACTGTCATACAGGGTCTAACACCAGTCATTGTCATACGGGGTCTAACAACAGTCACTGTCATACAGGGGCCTAACACCAGTCACTGTCATACAGGGGCCTAACACCAGTCACTGTCATTCAGGGACTAACACCAGTGGCTGTCATACAGGGGTCTAACACCAGTCACTGCCATACATGGGTCTAACACCAGTCACTGTCATACGGCAGTCTAACACCAGTCATTGTCACACACGGGTCTAACATCAGTCCCTGTCATACAGGGGTTTAACACCAGTCACTGTCGTACAGGAGTTTAACACCAGTCACTGTCACACAGGGGTCTAACACCAGTCACTGTCGTACAGGGGGGAAACGCCTAAAGTCACTGTCATACAGGGTCTAACACCAGTCATTGTCATACGGGGTCTAACAACAGTCACTGTCATACAGGGGTCTACCACCAGTCACTGTCATTCAGGGTCTAACACCAGTCACTGTCATACAGGGTCTAACACCAGTCACTGTCAAACAGGGTCTAACACCAGTCACTGTCATTCAGGGTCTAACACCAGTCACTGTCATTCAGGGTCTAACACCAGTGGCTGTCATACAGGGGTCTAAAACCAGTCACTGTCATACATGGGTCTAACACCAGTCACTGTCATACATGGGTATATCACCAGTCACTGTCATACAGGCTAACACCAGTGGCTGTCATACAGGGGTCTAACACCAGTCATTGTCATACAGGGGTCTAACATCAGTCAATGTCATACAGGGTCTAACACCAGTCACTTTCATACAGGGTCAAACACCAGTCATTGTCATACAGGGTCTAACAACGGTCACTGTCATACAGGGGTCTAACACCTGTCACTGTCATACAGGGGTCTAACACCAGTCAATGTCATACCGGGGTCTAACACCAGTCACTGTCATTCAGGGGCTAACACCAGTCACTGTCATTCAGGGTCTACCACCAGTGGCTGTCATACAGGGGTCTAAAACCAGTCACTGTCATACATGGGTCTAACGCCAGTCACTGTCATACAGCAGTCTAACACCAGTCATTGTCACACACCGGTATATCACCAGTCACTGTCATACAGGGGTCTAACATCAGTCAATGTCATACAGGGTCTAACACCAGTCACTGTCCTACAGGGGGTCTAACACCAGTCACTGTCATACACCGGTATATCACCAGTCACTGTCATACAGGCTAACACCAGTGGCTGTCATACAGGGGTCTAACACCAGTCATTGTGGTACAGGGGTCTAGCACCAGTCACTGTCATACAGGAGTCTATCACCAGTCACTGTCATACAGGGGTCTAGCACCAGTCACTGTCATACAGGGAGTAACACCAGTCACTGTCATACAGGGGTCTAACGCCAGTCATTGCCATACAGGGGTCTAACACCATCTAACACCAGTCACTGTCATACAGGGGTGTAACACCAGTCACTGTCCTACAGGGGCCTAACACCAGTCCCTGTCATACAGGGTCTATTACCAGTCACTGTCATACTGGAGTCACTGTCATACAGGGTCTATTACCAGTCACTGTCACTAACACCAGTCAATGTCATACAGGGTCTAACACCAGTCACTTTCATACAGGGTCAAACACCAGTCATTGTCATACAGGGTCTAACACCAGTCACTTTCATACAGGGTCAAACACCAGTCATTGTCATACAGGGTCTAACAACGGTCACTGTCATACAGGGGTCTAACACCCGTCACTGTCATACAGGGTCTAACACCAGTCACTTTCATACAGGGTCAAACACCAGTCATTGTCATACAGGGTCTAACAACGGTCACTGTCATACAGGGGTCTAACACCCGTCACTGTCATACAGGGTCTAACACCAGTCACTTTCATACAGGGTCAAACACCAGTCATTGTCATACAGGGTCTAACAACGGTCACTGTCATACAGGGGTCTAACACCATTCACTGTCATACAGGGGTCTAACACCATTCACTGTCATACAGGGGTCTAACACCAGTCATTGTGGTACAGGGGTCTAGCACCAGTCACTGTCATACAGGAGTCTATCACCAGTCACTGTCATACAGGGTCTAACCCCAGTCACTGTCATACAGGGTCTAACAGCAGTCACTGACATACAGGGGTCTAACACCAGTCACTGCCAGTCACTGTTGTACAGGGTCTAACACCAGTCACTGTCAAACAGGGTCTAACACCATTCACTGTCATACAGGGGTCTAACACCAGTCATTGTCATACAGGGGTCTAACATTGTCATGAAGGGGTCTAACACCAGTCACTGTCATACAAGGGTCTAACACCAGTCACTGTCATTCAGGGTCTACCACCAGTGGCTGTCATACAGGGGTCTAACACCAGTCATTGTCATACAGGGGTCTAACATTGTCATGAAGGGGTCTAACACCAGTCACTGTCATACAGCAGTCTAACACCAGTCATTGTCACACACCGGTATATCACCAGTCACTGTCATACAGGCTAACACCAGTGGCTGTCATACAGGGGTCTAACACCAGTCACTGTCATACAGGGTCTATTACC